AGAAAACATCCGTCTCGGTAAACATGGTATGAGCCTTAATGTCTCACCTCAATGAGCATGATTAATGCTTATTCTTAGGCCATGTAGCACTCATGGAGGAATCTCTCTAGTTCGAATTTCACGTGAGTTTAATAAGATGCTATTATCGTCTTATAGATGCTTGAACATCAAATTCCATGTACTTAGTTAACATTTCTTATATTCCACTAACTTTACCAACTCAAGTTGAAAAGTTACCAATCAAGTGATTCAGATAAAAACAACACACTGTTTTGGATTATCCTTTAGAAAATTGTATGAAAACAGAAAAAAATAAACTTTTATAAATAAACCTTATAACATTGACTAAATCTTACTTCAATTCAAGGATAAAAGGATGTTGAAAAACGATTCGTATTTGCATTATGTTGCCAAATTTAACTTTTTTGGCTCACCAAACACAGGAATATTTAACATAGGAATAAAGGCCAAATTCTGAGGAAAAGACTAACTGTGGCCCCAGTCAGAAACCAGGAAAAGATCAAAAGAATGCAGAACTGCATCCGAATCATCTGGGGTTATTCTCGATGTCCCCTAAGAGTCTACTGCTCTCTCCCCTTCTGCAGCACCAGTTAATTACCCAAAGGAGCACACATTCCCTGTGATGTAAATTTAAAAACCATGCTATGCCAACTTGTAGGCACCATCTTTGATGCTAAGAAATTAATGCTTTGGGGTTTTTCTTTGTTTTGTTTTGTTTTCATCTGGGTCTATAAATGCTTCCAAATCTGCCTTACTTATCTTTTGAGGTCAGCCTGGAGTCATTGCTTTGGGGCTTGGATTTATAGCTCCAGAAGCTCCTCAAGCTTTGCCAGTTGGGTTTGGTAATGGCCCAACTGGCAGGTAGACAGAAGAATGCGAATGCTATTTCCTATTGCAATTGCCTCATCTGTGCATAATTTACCGTGTAGCACTGATTCCATTTTACGCTTTCTCTGAGGTAGTGCTATGCTATTACAGTAACATCTGTATCCAAATATAGGAGCACAGAATCCCATGGTTTTACAAGTCTCTTACAAATCTTCAGTGAGGTTTTGCCCAGAAGATAGTTCCAGACTTGATTGCCAGCCGATTCCTTGACAGGTTACACTCGTTGCAATTGCTGCTGTTTCCTTTCTGCTGCACTGGTCTCCTGTCGCCTTTTTGTTACTTCCCATATATATTGACTGCACAATCATCCATAAAACCCCAGGTAGCAGATCTAAACCAGAGGGAAATTATCAAAACGTACTCTCTCTCTATTTCCCTCAGCAAAGTTGAAGCCAGGTAAGCTTAGGTCACTAGCCACAATCGGGGAATTTTCCTTTATTTTATTATGGTATGTAGGTGTGGAAAATGAAAGTATTAATTACAAGACCTTAGAAGTGGGGCGATTTTCATAAATATTTTTTAAAGATATTTATTTGAAAATGCTAATTATTTGTGACAGAAATGTAAGCCCTGCTCTGATTTTATTTTTATGCCAGGTTTAGACTAGATAATGTTATTATTAAAAGCAATCCTGAGTTTTGAAGATCATTTGGAAATCTAGGCATTATGTAATATCCATTTAACAATTTACATCTTGTTATTGATGCGCATGCTATCAATGAATCAACACAACCAAGGGTGTGAGCGGTGGCTTTCTGTACCTGTGGCTCTGCTATTTTCATCATCTCCCTTTCTCTTCATTTAATGACTGTTTTAGGAATTTTAAATTCCAGTTATGAGTCACCAGCTCCTAGCCACATTAGTGTTCATCTTAGTTGTATTCTTTTTAAAATTACTCTTTACGAACCATCTTTTCTTTTTCTCTCTCTCCATTCACCCCTGTTGCCATACACCTCTCTTCTACAAGCTAATCTTATTATTTTGATGTTTCTAAAGGACAAACAGAAGACAAACTATACCCAATGTTTCCATTTATTGTTAGATAGAATATTCTACCTGACCCTGGCAATCTAGTCTGAAGAATTATTTTTCTTACAAAGAAATGAAGAGTAGAAATCTGAGTTGACAATATTTTCTGGGAGACATGAACTGGGATACTAACTAGATGCAAAATTATATCCTAAGGGTGGGAAATAGCACTGACACCGTGACGTAAATGCATAGTTATGCCACGTGAATAAGATTATTACTATCACAGATCATGGTACGCAACAATGTCCCTATGCTTTCTGTTTTTGCAATCATCCTACAATATTGAACTCTGGTTGTCACATTTTCAGGAGGTTATTATTCAAATTGAGGACCTGAGAATATATAAAGGATAAAACAAAAAGCAAATCCACTGTCACTAAGTGTATTCTGACTCACAGTGACCCTGTCAGACAGAGTAGACCTGCCCATTGCATTTTCAAGGCTGTAAATCCTTCTGGAAACAGACTGTCACGTCTTTCTCTTTGGATTTGAACCTCTGACCTTTCTGTTAGCAGCCTAGTGCTTTCACTACTGTGTCACAAGACAAATGAATGTTATGGTTCAAAGAAATTTTACTTGAGATGTGGCAACTGCCTTTAAATATTTTAATGTCTATCAACTGAAGACACACATCCATCAACTCATAGGGATCTATAGCACCAGGTAGAACTACCCCTGTGGGTTTCTGAGACTGTAACTCCTTACAGGAATAGAGCACCTTGTCTTGCTCCTGCAGTGACTGGTGGTTTGTAACTGCTGATCTTGTAGTTAGCAGGAGCCAGTTGGTGTAGAGGTTTACATGCAGGGCTTCTAACTGCCTGGTCAGCCATTTAAAACCACCAGCTGTTCCATGGGAGAAAGGTGAGAATTTCTATTGTAAAGAGTGACAGTCCACAAGGGCAGTTCTACCCTACCCTATAGGGTCGACACAAGTTGGAATCTATTTGCTGGTGGTGAGTCGTTTGTTTGGGGGTATCAACTGAAGAGGAATAAGATGTGGCTAGTATTTAATTAAGCTAAAACACTTTGTCTTAGGAATCACATAAGAAAATTTCTCCTTTGTAAAAGGTGGACATTTTAAGTGAAAACTTTCCAACAGTGAAATCGTTTGCCTTACGTTGTACTGCGGTATTAAGTAGGAGGAGCCCTGGTGGTATTGTGGCCTACCCACGGGCAGCAGTTGAGCAAATGACAAACCGCTTAGATAGCTGGGGCATCGATCCTGTCATAGGGAATGACTCGCTAGACCTTATGGTAAATATAGTCCTTAAAAATAATGATGTTCCATGGCCCTGCTCGATACTTACCCTCAGGAAGGGAACACAGAAGATATAAGTGCTATAGAAAAATGTGGTGAAGAAGTTAGATGGTGCCTGGCTATCAGATAAAATAGCGTCTGGGGTCTAAAAGGCTTGTCTCCAAACAAGCAGCCATCTGAGTGAGATGTCAACTAAGTCAAAATGAAAGAAGCACACCATCATCCGTTACCGAAGGATTGTAAATCATATCATCTGAAGTCGAAGGAGGGATTAGTATCGGAGCTTAAATTGTGAGAATCCACTTTGCAGAAGGCTGTGGATGACAGTGGGAGCCCAAGACACATTTGTGGGAACTGCATAGGGAATAAGCCTCTGGTGATCTCCCTCTATCTACAACTGAGGAATGGGATGAAAGTGGTAACTAATCAGATTGCATTGGAAAGATGAGTATAAACCTGACTTAAGCAGTTAAAACTTTGTCAGTTGATCCCCTCTCTGATGTACACTGGACCTGATCTGTTTTTCAACATTTTATGTATTTTTGTTTTGTTTGATTTATATTAGGGTTTATCTCAGAAGTGTTATGTCATTGGGGGTCCCCCTCTTTAAATTGTGGTATATGTTTTCTGGTTTTTGGTATATGAAACCCAGGATTGATGAACTTATAGGAAAAGCAAAGGTAGTGGGAGTCCGGGGAAAGGGGCAAAAGGGAGACAATATCCAGGAGTCCAGCAAGAAAAGGGATGTTCGGAAACTGATTGTGGTAACAATTGTACAATACTGCTTGATGTGATTGAACGATGGATGTATTAATTCCCAATTAATAATAATTTTATAAAGTCATGGGGAAATCAGGATGTCTGATGGTCTTACAAGCATGTAGATTAAATATTTTTAATCCTGTCCTTGCAGCTGCACAGATGACATGAAAGGAAGGCAATGGAAAGTTCCAACGTCAGCTCAGAATATGGCTTTATCTTGGTGGGCTTCTCTGATCACCCCAAGCTAGAGATGATCCTCTTCATAGTAAATTTTATTCTGTATTCAGTGGCTGTGTTCGGAAATTCAACCATCATCCTTGTGTGCATCTTAGACCCCCGACTTCATACCCCAATGTACTTTTTCCTGGCGAACCTCTCCTTTCTAGACCTCTGTTTTAGTACGAGTTGTATCCCACAGATGCTTGTAAACCTCTGGGGTCCTGATAAGACTATTAGCTATGCTGGCTGTGTTGTCCAACTTTTCTCTTTTCTCTCTGTCGGGGGAATTGAATGCATCCTTTTGGCTGTCATGGCCTATGATCGCTATGCTGCAGTCTGCAAACCCCTGCACTATATGGTCATAATGCACCCTCAGCTGTGTTTAAGACTGGTAGCTGTAGCATGGGGAAGTGGCCTGGTCAATGCCATTGTCATGTCCCCACTAACAATGACGCTTTCCAGATGTGGTCGGCGCCGAGTTAACCATTTCCTCTGTGAATTGCCCGCCCTGATCAAAATGGCCTGTGTGGATGCTCGTGCAGTCGAAATGCTGTCCTTCACCTTTGCCGTTCTCATTGTACTGCTGCCCCTCGCTCTTATTCTTGTCTCCTATGGCTACATCGCAGCAGCTGTGCTGAGGATCAAGTCAGCAGCTGGGCGCTGGAAGGCCTTCGACACCTGTAGCTCCCATCTCACGGTGGTCTCCTTGTTCTATGGGAGCATCATCTATATGTACATGCAGCCAGGGAACAGCTCTTCCCAAGACCAGGGCAAGTTTCTCACGCTCTTCTATAACCTGGTCACTCCCATGTTGAATCCACTCATCTACACATTAAGGAATAAGGAAGTGAAGGGGGCATTGAAGAAAGTTCTAGGGAAGCAGCAGTGACCAGGAGAGGTGTCAAAAGTTATTAAATACTAGGCAAAAAGAGAGAGAGAGAGATTTTGGTCACAAACACTACCATATGTTTTCTAGTTATAATAAATCTAACCGATGTATCCAACACTCTTGGATTTCAAAAATAATAATAGGCATAAATGTATTGAAGAGTATTTAAACAGAATTACATTCAGAGTCAACATGATTCAATCACACTCAAACTCACTGCCAAAAGTCAAGTCTGGCCGATCACACCCTGCAGGACATAGTAGAACTGTCTCTGTGCCCTGAAATTGTAAATGTTAACTGGGGTAAACAGCCTCATTCTTCTCCCAAGGAGCAGTTGGTGGTTTCAGACTGCTGACCTTGTGGTTAGCTGGCCAACTTGCAACTCACTACACCACCGGGCCTCTAAATCAGCCATAGCTCTGTATAATACAGAGGGATCTTAGCAAAATGTCTAGTAAAAGAGTTGCGTCCCAAAAGAAAGGTAAAAAAAAAAAAAAGTGACTCTCACGTTGGTATAAAATCAGCATGTGTTTTAGTTAATTCAATGAGAGAATTATACAGATGCAATAACCATAAAACATTTTAAAGTCGAAAACGCATAACGTTATATGGAGTAAAGGAATCTTGAAAGGAAGGTTCACGAAGAGGTGAAATTCACATCTTCCATCATGGAGGACTGAAATGAATCCGGTCTGCATGTCATAGACAGGAATAAGTTTTCATATAACTGTAAAACGCCTGCTACAGACAACCTAGAGTGGTGCCCTCTAGGGTCTAGAGGAAGTATACTTTTCCAGCAAAGCAAAAAAAAAAAATGCTGTCATTCATCTGAATCCTCTCTGTCTGTCTGTCTTCAAGTCAGTGCTGACTCGTAGCAAGCACCCTGTGGGTTTTCCCGAGACTGTCACTGTTTATGAGAGTAGAATACCCAGAATCCTGCAGAGCTGCCATGGTTTCGAACTACCGTCCATGCTGATCGCAGCCCAAAGAATAACCATTACACCCCCAGGGCTCCTTCTTTCTGACCCCGATAAAGAGTTTCTGAGGCTGTTAACTCTTCATGGGAATAGAAGTCTCATCTTTCTCCAAAGAAAAGGCTGGTGGTTGAACCGATGACCTTGTTTTTAGCAGTCCAACACTTGCAGGACAACAGGACCAGAGCTCCTACACTTCCCCACCCCCACCCCCCACTGTGAACCAAACCGTATATTTTATTTATATTATAAAACTAACTATAAAATCTCAAGCCTCTTGGTAAAAACGTGTAGGTGTTTTTATCCTGATTTTTTTAAGTGGTGGAAGTATGTCTGATAGATCCCACATCACAGAGCAAATACAGTCAGTGGTGTGACAACTGAACCTCTGCTGGCATTCACTGAGTAAACTGCCTTTTCTGTCAGAGTGTTTAGTGCAGGTTGAGGTCACCTAATAGGCCCAAGGGCAGTGTGAGTTCATTGTTGAGCTCTTTCCTTCCCTATGTAGTAGGCCCAAGTTTCATTCCAAGTCCACGCACTTCAAACACAGCTACCACCCATCTGTCAATGGTGCTCAACAGGTCTCCATGAACCTTCCACCCTCAGGTGAACTAGAAGGAAAGGCCTTGTGATCTGCCTCTAAAAAGAATCACTCAATGGATCACAACCCTGTGGGTCACAATGATCCAAATTCATTGTGCCAGCGTCAGGAACTCCCCACATGGCAACTCACAACAACAATAATCAACTCATTTTCTTCATATACTTATACAATGCTTCCAGCAGACTGGGTGTGCAAGAGACCCTACAAGACAATGCTTACCCGAGTCGATTCTGACTCTGGACAGGGTAGCACTGCCTCCATGGGTTTCTGAGAGCGAAACTCCTTAAGGGAATAGAAAGCCTCATCTTCCTTTCATGAAGTGGTTGGTGGTTTCAAACTGCTGGCCTTGGGATTAGCAGCCCAATGAGTAATCCACCAGGGCTCCTCCAGCAGGCTAGCTCAGGCACCAGGATAAGGCTCCAAGCAGCAAGCAGACATTGCAAGGCCTCTTGGGACAAGCCTTGGCCTTGATACATCTTTTATGCTATATTCTATTGGCCAAAGCAAGTCCCGTAGCCACCCCAGATTCAAGGGGTAGGGAAATGGACTCTTCATGGGACAAATTGCAGTCATTTTGCAGGAGAGCATAGATACAAGGGTGGGGGGTGGGGGTGATTTGGGGCCACTTTTGCACATCAATGTACCACGTGGAAAAGCTGAGTTCAATTCCAGGTCTGTAAAAAAAAAAACCAAAGAAAAAAACAATGCTTACCATTTTAAAAATGCACCCCCTTTCCTTTATCAAGAGCATAACCCCTCCCTCC